AGGAAGGTGTATATAATTAAAGCACTGAGAATTATAAGTAGTTTGACTTTCGAAAAATATAAAGGAACGAGACTGAAGGTCAGCTCTAATAAACACTCCTGCTTAGACCTAGAGAGGCCTTTTGCAGTGGAAGAATAGAGGCACCGAGGACCCTGGGACCTGGATGTACCTACAGATAGGAGGCCTGAATCAACAGGTGTCACAGGTGGCAGAGAAGGCCAAGGACCACTGCCGGGGGCATTCTGTTGGCAAGCCTCTGCCCCCTGCCACCCCCCCCCAGACCCTTGTGCAGACGCACCCCAAGGAGGCGAGCACGGTGAGGTACTGGTTGATCTGCAGCATGGCGGCATCCAGCAGCGTGTGGATGTTGCGCAGACTCTGCAGCCGAGCCTCTAGGTGCTGCCGCTCATGGCCTTCCAGAGCCCGCAGCTCCTCTGGGGTCAGCCCAGCAAAGCCCGCAGGGGGCACAGGCATAGGGGGAAAGGCTGGGGAGAGGGAGAGGCTCAGCCTGGGTTGCCTGGGCCTGACAGCCCTTGCCCTCCAGAACAACCCTGAGTGGCCCAACTTACCAAAGGGTGGAGGCAGTGGCATGCCCATCCAGGGGGGTGGGAAGGGGAAGCCTGGGGCAGGGCTAGCCTCGGGGGCAGGGCTGGGGCCAGGTGCCGGGGCAGAGGGAGGAGCAGCAGCTGTGGTACTGGCTGCGCCACTGGGCCGAGAAAGGGCTGCTGAGGAACAAGCACAGGAATCCAGTGAGTGTTGAGGGGCCTCTGCTTCCACTCGTCCCATCCCCTGCTGTCACAGAACCCACAAGGCTCACCTGTGCTGGTGGATGGAGGGGCCGCAGCCTCTCCTGGGCTGGGGGGAGGTGGGACAGGTGGAAAGGGGCCCATAGGAGGCCACAGCGGAAACATGCCTGGAGGAAAGGGCGGCAGGAGGCCCTGGGGTACTGCAGAGAAAGGATGGGGTGGTGAGAAGAGGTCCAAATTGAGACACCCAAATCACAGACGAGGGGCCAGTTGCGAGCTGTCTTTGCTCCCGTAAGCCCTCTGAGCTCAGCACTGATCACACACGACCGCAGTCTGTCTCCTCCCATGCTCCTCTCCCCGACCCAGACTGAGCTGGAGGAGAGGGACTCTGATTCGCCTGTTTCCCATACCCAGCTCAGGGCAAGTATCAACAGTGGGCTGGGTGGCCAAATGAGGGGCCACTCACAATTGGGGGGCTGGGGCAGGAGAGGTGGGGGATGGGGGGCAGCTGGTGGACCCTGATCGGCAGGTTCAGGGGGTGGTGGCGACTGTGTTGGCAGCGATGCCCGAAGGACATCCATTCGGCAGGTGGGGCACGTCTGCTGCCGCTGGAACCAGGAGCGCAGGCAGCTGGGGGTCAAGACAGGCAATGGTCAGCAGGTCCCTAGGGTCCTGACTTCTGGAGCCTGTCCCCCCGATGTGCAGGCTCCCCAGGGTCCCTCCCACCTGGTGTGGAAAATGTGGTTGCAGGGCAGTCTCTTGGCACCAGTCACCATCTCTTCTCGGCAGATAATGCAGACATTATCCATGGCCTGGAGTTCCTCTGGGGTGGCATCTGGATAACTGGTGAGGACAGACCAAGGACCTGTCACGACGAGAGCGGGAGGCACAGGCACCTGGCACAGAGCTTGGGGGAGCAGCTAGGACCAGCCCACTTACAGTGTGTTCATGTTGCGGATGGCTCGGCGAGACATGATGGCGTCTGTCACAGCTTTCTTGAACTGCCTGAATGGATAGTTTCAGTGAAAGTTGGGGGATGGGAAGGGAGGGATCAGGTAGGGATCAGAGGCATGGTGGAGCTGGGCTAGGCTTACCTCATGGCCAGGTACATAGGACGGATGGCAAAGAGAGGGAAGGTGTGCACCTTGATCATGATGGTCATGAAAGCCATGTATAACAGAACCTTGATGAAGCCTAGGGGCAAGGAGGGGTGCAGAGAGCAGCCAGTCACAGGGCCTGGAAGGCACAGCTGGGGATGCTGGTCCAGGTCCGGGGAGGCCCAGGCTCTTCTCACCTGTAAACAGCTCCGTATAGAGCATGTACACGGCCTTATTGTCCCACGGGTTCTCGCTCTGGAGGTCCACGGAGTGCAGCACATACTTGATGAAGATGGTGAGCACCATGGTCATCAGGATGGCATACTGGAGGTAGGAGGGAAGGGGAGACATAAATATGCAGCTCTCTCTTGCTCCAGCCACTCTCTGCTACCCCTGGGCCTTTGCAGAGCAAGGTGCAATGGTACATGCCCAGGATTGGACACAGCTGGGGGGGTCATCCAGCTCTTCCACTCCCTAGGTGGTGTGAATGGCAACTCACTAGCACTCTCTGAACCTCAGTTTGCTTGTCTAAAATGACAGAATTAACTATTCCTTTACAACAGTGTTGCTTTGCATTAAAAGATGCAGGTCAAGTGCTCAGCACAGGGCTGGGCACACAGTTAAGCACTCAACAAACATGAGCTGTTGTCACATGAACACATTCTTCCTCTGCCAGGGACACCCCCCCCCCAGTTGTCAATCAGGCTAACTCCTTTTGTCCATCATCAGCCAATTCCTCTGGCATCAACTTCCCAGAAGGCTTCCCTGAGCACCAGGTCAGGGCTCTTCCTCCAAAGCACCTCTTTCTGTGCCTTCCCCACTCTCCTAGGAATGAGCGTGTAGAGGGCAGAGGCACGGACCGATGGCTGGCTGCTCCTTGGTGGCCCCCATGGGGCTGGCCATAGAACAGGTGTTCAGTAAGGGTTTGCTGGGTTATTCAAAGCACATGCAGTGCCACCTCAGGCTTGTCCTCCCAACCTCCCAAGCCAGTTTTACCTCAAAGCCAAACACCAGCTGCACAGAGGCCCCACGGGTCAGGATGCTGTGATAGGCATGGCTGACGAAGAGGAAATCCAGAATACCCAGGAGGAACATAAGGGCTGTGGGGACCCCCCCCAAATGGGGGGTTGGTTGGGTCAGTCCACAGACTGACAACCACTTCCTGCACTAAGAGAGCTCCCACCCTCAAGTTCACCATGGACCCAGCCATCTAGTTAGGTGGGCACACGCCACTGAACCCGGCCCCCAGGGAACTCCAGTTCTGCTCAGGGGAGGCACTGGGTTGGCCCACGCTCTGGGTGAGGAGGCAAAGAGCTAAAAGGCCAGGCAGTTGAGAAGCCCTGGAGAGGAACAGGGCACAAGTTATGCAAATTGACTTCCTAAATTATCTTTCCTGTACAGCTGTGGGCTGGGGGCAGCCTGTGCTCTGGAGTGCAGGCCATGGTTAGAGCCATTTCATGTTCCAATCCTCCACGGTGCTTCTCCCTCCAGCTCCCTCCTCTCCCCTCCCACAGGTCTCACTCACAGACAATGCGGCAGTGAAAAAGCCAGGAGATATTGGGGCTGCGTTCCATCTGAGGCAGAGCAGAGAGGGGGCCCATCAGGAAGGTTGGGGCTCACCCCACATCCCCAACCCAGCCCTCGCTCCACATGCCTGCCCACCAGCCACTCCCTGGCTTCTGTCTGCTCCAGAGAACCCTCTGACCCAACTCACAAAGTCCACACGGTCCTCAGCCAGCCAGTGAAAACACTTGAGGAAAAGAAGGAGAGTAAAGAGCGCAACAAAGCGGGGGCTGAAGTCGTCCCGAAAGACGGTGAAGGCCAGACAAGTCTCAGTGACAGCATACCAGGAACGTTCCAGAAGGTGCTGGGGTTTGGGCATGGAATGACGTGGAATCAGATATTCTGCTCGCCCAGCTCTCTGCCCCTCACCTTTGGGTCACAAACATCTTACCTCCATCTCTGCTGCCCTCAGCTGCCCAAAGAAAACCTTGCCCATCACCTTGCCCAAGAGAAAGACAAGGACAAAGGCCTGGATGTACAGGACCTAGGAGTGAGGAGAGGCTGTTGTTTGAGGTCTCCCTCCGCTTTGCTCTGCCTGGGACTCATCATCCAGGAGCCCCCCCACATCCCCATCAGAATTTATTCAAAGTTAGGCAGCTGGTAGCTCCTTAACGTCTCTCCTACTTACTTACCTGACCTCTAGCCCCGCCCCTGTCTCAAGCAGACTCCTCCTTCCCTCCCAGGCAGTTCCTCCCTCCCTGAGCCCTGAACTCACTGCCATGCTGGGGCTGGACTTGGTCAAGTACACCACCGTGGGGTAGAACTGGTGCTTGAGGTAGTAGGCATGAGCCACCACGGCCCCTGTCAGCGCCAGGCTGGCCGCCATCATCACTGCGGTGCGGAACATTGCCCTGGCCTGGCGCCCTGCATGGGGAAAGGAGAG